TTTCTCGTAGGCTTTGTGCCTTTGTTTATGAATTTTCTTGATTTTAGGCATTGAAGGCCTAAAAAGAATGTATTTGAAACAAATACATCGGTCCCCACAACCGTGTATCTATTTGATAGTTCGAACCCTGTCGACTCCTATTGATCAGTATAGAAAGATCGGGTTCTGTGGGCTTCATGCCTTTGTGTATGAAATTTCTTGATTTTAGGCTTTGAAGGCCTAAAAAGAATGTATTTAAACAAATACACTGGTCGCTACAACCGTGCATTTCGTTAGACAGTTAGAATCTTGTCAACTTCTATTGATCCGTATAGAAGGATCGGATTCGAATCTTGAATTCACTTGTCAACCCGCGTAGCATCCATAGGCGTCACGTGTGTACCGATAACACGCTCGCCAGGGCCCATGCGGGTTGAGATTATATTGACCCATCGTGTACCTATGTGTATACAAACTACGGTGCATATGTAGGGGTACTTTAAAATATTTGTAGTTGTGTAGATAACTATCGTTTGGGTGCACACAACTTTTCATTTGAAAGCTTATACACGTCTTTTGTCCGCTAATACGAGTGTTGCGGATCCGATGGCGGTGGATTTTGATGTTGACTCCCCCTTTCTCAATCACCGGGGAAGGTTCTTCTTGAAGTCCGTGGATATTGCTTTGAAATTTACTCTTTTTAAGATCTTCAATGTTGTAGATTTGATATTTCTGGTATTTGTAGATGTAGAGTTGTTTCCCTTCCTGAATACAGGATTGAGAAGATCTTGATCACCACTATCGTAGGTGATACTTGTACCTATGTCCACAGTGGTTCGTTGTACATACGACATACACACTGTTGTTATCCACAAGTATTCATCTGCATTTGTAAGGGATCCGTACTTGTGCCCACGGTGATTTACTGTACTTGCAACACACTGTTGTTATCCACAAGTAGCTCATATTTGTTCGTAAGGATTCGCCGTATTTGCTACGAGTTCCTGGGAGTATTCGTAGGAGACCCTTGTTTCTTGCATTATATCCACCATTTCACTGATCTCGGGTGGTTGTTGTACTTGTTTGACCTCGTAGGAATCGTCGTATCTCCTACGAGCTTCTAGAAAATGCTTGTAGAAGACCTATTGCTTCTGCATCATGCCCAACCTTTCACCAATCTCGGGCGGGTTGTTGGGTTGCATTTGTTTGTAGGCAGGCGGATCCTCCATCATTGGTCTCCCATATCGCCATCTCAATCAACAGGCGGTTATAGAAATTGTCGTAGGAGACTCGTGCATCGAGGTCTTGTAATCTGAATTTCCTCATGCGTGATTCAAACTTTGTTCTTGTATGTGTTTGGATCCGAATTTAGTTTCATTCAGACTTGAATTCATCAAGTTTACAGGTCTCCACTTGATGTCGTATAGTCCGAGTTCAATCATGAGTTTGAAGTGCATATTCGAACTGATTGCCCAGGGTCTTCTGAAGTTCTTAGCAAGTTCATTTGAATGTTAACTTTCTTTTTGTTCAAAGTCCTCTGGAGTCTTTATATGTCCAATTTCATGTTCAAATTGGCTTCGATTTGGTTCAAATTTAATTTCATTTTATTTAAGTTTGGATTTTTAGAAATCTTTTGAATTTTGATCAGGTCCTCTGCACATGTTCAATCAAGTTCAAAAGTCCACTGCTCTTTCTCATTTGGTCCAAACATTTTGTTCTTTTGAGTTCAAAACAGGTCCAAGTGTAGTAGTATTTCACCCGAAATTTCGGCAGCCTCCCGGCGTCTCCCCTGTTTAGGGGAAAACTACGAGAAAACTGGGCCTTCCCACCACAGCCAATAAAGGCGTGCATGGTAGGTGCTCTCTTTCGAGGACACCTCGATCGTGACTTTTCTTCCCACCACGGCCAATAAAGGCGTGCATGGGGTCTTTGACGGTACCTGTTATAAGAAGAAGAGCAGTTACTTTCCCCCCGCCCGGGGGTACTTATAAATCATTCCGGCCGCGCAAAGAAAAGGGTACACCAGGCTCGCCTGGCCTCGCCGTGTGCGTCGAACCGGTTTCCCTCCTACCACGGCCACCAAAGGCGTGCTTAGGTGGTTTGCCGGTCCGACACGCATGTCGAGACAGGATGGCGTGGGTCGCTCGCTTACCTCAACACAGATGTCGTGCCGGTTGCCCCTCCTACCACGCTCAATAAAGGCGTGCATAGGTAGACCGCCGACCGTTATACCTTCGGGGCCGGTGGACCGGTGGACCGGTGGACCGGCGGCGATGAGGGCTCGGATGTCGAGGCAAGGAGAGGCTCGAGCATTTTAAGCATTTATTAATTATAATTAATATCAATTAATTAAAATTAATTAAGAAATTATTTTTAATTAATTATTGTATAATTAATTAAATTT